ACACGAACAAGCTGAATCCCAGGCCGAGCCTGCCTATGAGTATAGCAGGGGAACATGAGCCGGCAGCCATAGCTGACCGGTTTATGAAACACTTTAAAGTGTCAACGCATGTGGGTAGTATGTTGCAGGTGGCCGATGCTGGGGAGGTGGCCACAGATTTGACTGTAAGTTTCTCGTCCAAAGATGTGGCTACTGTAATCAAGAATATGGTTAGAGGAAAGTCCCCAGGTCATGATAGTCTCAGCATCGAGCACCTGCAACACGCTGGAGTGCACCTGCCCAGAGTCTTGGCCACATTTTTCACTCTTTGTATTGGACATTGTTGTCTTCCAGAAGCAATCATTAAGACTATTGTGGTTCCAATATTGAAAAATAAAACAGGTGACACTTCGGATATAGGCAACTACAGACCTGTTTCACTGGCACCTGTATTAGCAAAGGTGTTGGACGGTCTGCTTGACAAACACATGGAAAAACATATAAAGTTGCACGACGCCCAATTCGGGTTTAGACCTGGATTGTCTACTGAAAGTGCAATCCTGTCACTCAAGCATACTGTCCAATACTATGCGGACAGGAACACACCTGTGGTTGCCTGTTTCCTTGATTTATCCAAAGCTTTCGACCTCGTAAATTATGACCTGCTTTGGCGGAAGTTGAAGGAGGATACACAGGTACCCGATGAGGTTATCCAACTGCTCAAGTACTGGTACAAGGAGCAGTCAAACTGCGTAAGGTGGGCAGGCTCTTTGTCGGAAGAGTATGGGTTGGAGTGCGGGGTGAGGCAGGGGGGTTTGTCGTCTCCCCGCCTTTTCAACTTATATATGAATAAGCTGATCGAGGAGCTCAGCAGAACTGGTATCGGTTGCCATGTAGGAGGGGTCTGCGTAAATAACATTAGTTACGCAGACGATATGGTTCTGCTGAGTCCCTCGATCGGTGCCATGAGGAGGCTGCTCAGGACTTGCGAACAATACGCGGAGGCTCATGGGCTCAGATACAACTCTACGAAGAGTGAAATGATGGTGTTTAAGGCAGGTAATAAGACCTACTCCACCTTGCCGTCAATCACTCTGGCTGGCACGCCACTTAAAAGAGTAGCCAACTTTAAGTATCTGGGCCACTGGGTCTCTGAAAATCTAAGTGACAACTTAGATCTGGAGAGGGAGCGCAGGGCGCTTTCTGTCCGCTGCAATATGTTGGCTCGCAGGTTTGCAAGGTGTACAAAGGAGGTAAAGACGACGCTTTTTAAAGCATTCTGTCAAACTTTTTACACCTGCAGCCTGTGGGTCAGTTACACAGGGAAGGCATATAGCGCTTTGAGGGTGCAGTATAATAACGCGTACAGGGTGTTGATGGGGCTGGGGCGGCGGTGTAGCGCCTCCGGCATGTTCTGTGAGGCGGGAGTGGATGGCTTTCATGCAATCATGCGGAAGCGATGCTACTCCATGCTGCAGCGCGTGAGCGCCAGCCCTAACATCATCCTGAACTCGGTTGCGCACCGGTGGGACAGCCCGGTAGTAAAATACTGGCTGCTCCTACACGCACCATACGTTAGATTAGATCATAAGAATTACTAACATTAGATAATAAGAATTATGTTTGTATACTAACAAAATATGGATCTTTGGTCTGAAATAAAAATTATTTTATTTTTTTTTTTTTATTTTTTATTTATATGTCGACTTCCGCATGTAATTTGCCAATTTTTCATTTGCTTCCATTTGACTCTGAGATGTGTTCATCATTTGATAGTCTTTTTACTTTGTCGTTCTAGTATTCGTCGAACGTCCGTGTCTCGTATCCGATGTATCCATCGAAAGTATTTATTTCTTTTTCTTTTGTAAAAGTTTCAGCAGTTTTACGTGTTCCCTTTGATGGAGCCATTTAACGTAGTTGAGTCTTTTCGTAGATACTCTTAGTAAGTAAAGGTAATATTGTTATTGAAGATTTCCTCCAGGAGTTTAAAAACCCTACAAACAAAAAATACCTTTTACAGGCTAGACCATTTTTTTGGGCTGCGTATCACTTTTTAATGTGATACGCAGATACGTGTACCAATCATATACGTGAATAGTGATTGGTACACGACCATTTGTTTGCCGGAAGTTATTGATAAACTCCGTAAAAATAACGTAATCGCCGTATTATCTTGCACCACGATAATGCCAGTTCTCACACGGCCAGACAGACAAGTGAATTTTTGAAGGTGAGCAACGTTGACCACATGAGCCATCCCGCGTACAGTCCCGACCTGCCACCTTGTGACTTTTATTTATTTCCAAAAATTAACAACCAGGGACGTGTTCAACGATTTTCATCGCCTGAAGAGGCTGTCGAAGAGTATGAAAAATATGTTTCAGAGATTGTCACGGAGGAGTGGCATAAATGTTTTCAAAATTGGTTCATTCGTATGAAAACGTGCATTAACGCTAACGGAGAATATTTAGACAAACAATATTTCCTATAAACAAATTCCTTTCTGACCATTTATAGTATTTTTTTCTTATTAATTTCGGATACTTATAGTGCGCCCTATGGAATTATCATCAGTGTATATAATGCTAAAAATGTAAGATGAATCTCGACTGAATTCATAACAAGTAAATTATATGGCTTATGTGATCAAATGGCCATCTCAGAGGTCGCGGGTTCGACTCGCGGCCGAATCAATGTAGTAAACTAACTTTTCTATGTTGTCTCGGGTCAGGGTGTTTGTGGTACTGTCGTTGTTTCAGATTTCCATAACACAAGTGCATTAGTTACTTACTGTGGGATCGGAGCAACGAATGTGATGTTCTCTAATATTTATATATTTATTTATTATTCAACCATCGCGTCGTTAATAGTGACTGCTTCGTTGATTTATGGAAGTTCATACCATTTATCTCCTCCAGACTGAACTTGAATTCTCTAATCCACCATTGTTTAGTTTCGAAGTTCGACGTAACAAAGGGCTGAGCGGGACACTTTTGAGGACTTTGCCTTATCAGGTCTATATTTGCCCCTTGTCAATGCCGGTATCTAGTTAACTAGATAGCGAAAGATAGATAACTGTAAGTAAATAACTATACTGGCTCAACGCTTTTTATCATTATATATATATAATATAAATTGTGCCCGTGACTCTGAGCCGTAAGTTGACTAGTCCCATGCGCCTGTAGTTTAACTAGCACCCTTGCCCTTCAAAACCGGAATACTCATAATAGTTCAAATTCAAACTCATTATAGTTCTATCCGCTCACGCGATGCGCTACCCCCACCTACACGGCCCTTAAAGGATAGGATAAACCTACCGCAAAATGGCGGCTATCTGGTTTCGCAAATTAGAAAAGCATTCAGTTTAAATACCAGTTTTTATAAATAGAAATTATTATTCTGCATTGCTAAATAAATACCCTCCGTACTACCAACAAAAAAATCTCAAATAAAATGCAGTAATGCACCGCACATCCTGCACTTAAAAAGCACTAATGAAATGTTTGGTGTGCTTGGATAAATATGATAATATTCCGTTTGAGTGGTTCTAACGTTTACCATGAAATTACTCCTTAAAGTATAGTTTATAAACATTTATATTCAGGGTAAACTTAAAAAAGCTACTTACGGTATGTTTTCAATAAATAAACACCGAAATCACCAGCCCAGACAATAACATACACGATTGTCGTGACGTATTTTTGAAGTTGTTTATTTTTTTAAATGACAGACCCAGGCATTAAAAACTTTATGTTTTGCTAGAGTAGTTACCGAAATAGCAATTAATATTACTTCTTTTACCTGTTATAACTTTGATGTCCGATAAATCGGTATAAAATCATCACCGGCACCTCTAGGTGTGGTATGCGTCTACGGCTGCATGTATCGCGCGAGCGGCTAAATACTTAAATACTAAGTTAGTGGAACACAAAGTGTTCATTTGTGTAAAGCACTTATAATATAAATGTTCATCCTCTTGATGTTCACTGTAATCAGTTTGGTAAAGTACCATCCGATTTATACATTTATTGTGTAGGTTGCGGTTTATGCAGAACAACGTTAAATCTTTGTTTATCACTTAGAATAATGTTTATTTAGAAGTAACTAGCTGTTGGCAGCGACTTGGTCCGCGTAAAATGTTCACATGTATTATACAGGTACAACTAAAACACAAAATGCAAATTTAAGGTGTTATGGTTCTAGCTAAGTAAAACAGCACACTGTGACACTCGCGTGCGTGGGTGCCTTTATTTTATAGCATCTTGTTAATGACAAGTACTATGTTATCGTCCTTGATGGCCGCCGCCACCGCTCCTGTATTGTAACATATATACGATTGTAACATATTTAAATACTTATTACATGTATTAGACTCGATGAGACTTTTATTTTAAAGAACTACACTATAAAACATAAGGAATAAGATTTTCTACGCAAAACATTTCAATATACTTCGGTATCGAACTTACCTTTATTTAGGGGTTTAAGAACCCTGAAACACATGTTGTATTTATACCAAGGGGTTTGAAGGGTAAGGGTGCTGGTGAAATTACAGGCACATGGGACTTGTCAACTTATGTCTCAGGGTCACGAGCGCAGTGACAGTACCCCGCAGTTCTTTGCTATTTAAAGCTCTGAGTGGCACTGCAACTGTTATGGAAAGGCATGTAGCTTACCATCAGGCACACGACTTGTTCGTCTCGTCACGTTTATATTATAAATAAACAACTTTCACCCAAATCGCACCACGGCTTAAAAACAACATTTTTATAAACAAACTTTAATACCCCATTTCACTTTCATTTAGAGGTAGTTTTCGTAGTTCTACTGTTAGTAGTCAAAGAGTTGGGTAGAATAAAGTAAAATAAATATTCATTTTATCACTGAGATTCTTATACTGGAAAAAGACATCAATATCTATTAACAGCTGAACAGGTGTACATCATACATGGCTAAGACCTAAGCTATAGCTAAGATTTACAAATGAAGCGAATTAATTAGTTTAATTTTTCTTACCCCAGGGTCGTGTATGGTATACTCTCAAGTATGAATCCAGTACCGAGAGGCTCCAAGTTACCATCTTGAAGGCGAAGCACCTACCTTCACGCACTCCAGCGCTGGCCAATGCTTGCGATCCTTATATCAAGTAAGTGGATGTTTCTATATGTTTTTACGGATCTGTATATAATATGCATGTATATTTGAAATTTAAAAATAAAATAAAAGTGAAACAAAAAAACTTTATTGCTCAGCACTACAACGATACATAAAAAACTTAAAATGGCTTAAATAAAATAGAAAATGAAACTATTTTTCCAGATTTAAATCGCGTATATTTGTTTTTTCAAACAAACCAAAGTTTCGGGCCTTTACAGGTCCCATGGTCACGGTTAAAATAAATAGCTGTGTTAAAGAAAAAGCAACTTGCTGCAGCAATTTGCTGGTTTCCAGGCTACACCTTGTATATAGTGTAGAAGTACAAGTGAAGTATATTCGTCGCTGTAGACATCACAGTATGCAGTTTCTTATTAAATAATTGAAAAGGCACTTCACTCACCGAAATCATACACTATTATACATTACAAAAATTCCTAATTAGAATTTTCTAATTAAATATACAATTAAAGTAAGTGAGTAGTAAATACATTCGTTGTAGCATAGTATAATTAGTTATGGCATAGTACAAAAGACAAGCAGTATAATTCCACACAAACGTAGCAGCGGGGCTTGTGTTTTTCCTCATGATTCCAAGGGACGAAACAAACAAGACATGGGCCTGATGCTAAGCGACACGCCTGTCCATAAGAGTTGCAGTGCCACGCAGAGCTTTAAATCGCAAAGATCTGGGGAGCATTGCCACTGCGTCCGACACCCTGAGACATAAGTTGAACAGTCCCATGTGCCTGTAATTTCACCAGTGCCATTACCCTTCAGAACCGGAATACAGTAATGCTAACATTACTGCTTTGAGGCAGAAATAGGTAAGGTGGCAGTACTTCACAAAGAGCTCTACTGCTATTGAGAACTTATTATCCTATAGCAGGCAAGAAATGAATAAATACACCACCACCGCAATCACAATCGCGGCTATTGAGACGGTGGTTTTATACTACGAATTATAACCACGTTATCTAACGGTAGGGAGATATTGATTCTTTATATTTAAAGACATTTGATTCGCTTGAGATAAAATGAGTAGATATTTTTAGAGAAGAGCGATGGTACCCCAGGAGGCTTGTTGGCTTTCGATGTTTCAAATTTCTGTATCGACGACTTTCATTTCCAATATTGGGTTCTTGGGTTTCGCAATTGTTATACATTTTATTTACAAGTTAATACGTAATAAATAATAATAATTTCCAGTAACGGAATGCGTGATAAAACCAGCATGTTGACTTGTTACCAGGCGCACTACTTGTTCGTCCCATCACTTGATATTATAAAAAAAACTCAGACCCTTAAATTCCCATTGGGGTAGGCAGAGACTATCGATCGGCACTTAGCACGATCCTCATAAAATGCAAGTGAAGCATTTCTTCTTCTTCACTTACATTCATCAGTTTTTTCATACATGCTCTCTTATTCTTCACACTACATACTACAGCCTTTTTAAGAACACTCTCAATTTGTCTGAGAATGTTCTGTGTGGCCGTTCTCTTTCAATGATTCCTTCTACGTTAGTTCTATATATTTCTTTCATTAATCTTCATTCATTCATCCGCTCCATGTGCCCAGACCACCTCAGCGTACCCTTTTGTATGTTTGTCACTACATGCTCAATTTAAATGCTAACTACAAAAAAAAAACACACGTTTCTGTTCATTCTGAATAAGTCATTCAAATCACATACGAAATATTCACATGAAATACAACTTTTAAAGTAAATTTGCGATTACGGTCTGCTGCCGTAAGCATAAGAGATAAAGAGAATTGTTTGTTTTCTCTACCGTACATATATATACTATAATAATAATAATAAACTGAAAGCAATATTCTGAAGAATTGTTTAACATGATGCCAACAGCAATATTTTATCATCGCACCGCTAGCCACCGGCAGGGCGTCCATCCTAACATTCTGGAGGAGCTTTCTCCCACGTACAATTAGGTTGTGGAATTAACTACCTGTCGGGGTTTTTCCGCAGGAATACATCATGGAGTACTTTGTGTTGCGTATTTCAAAGCTTTTGTTAACAATGCTTATGAGCATTAATTAATAAGAAAAAATATTAGATATCGGTTGAAGGTAAACGAGTTTTGACCTCGGGGTTTAATGGTTTCCACGTTGGAAGAGGAGGTTTTGGGTTCGATTCCCCGTAGGATCTATTTGGAAAACGACCTTTTCTAAGTAGAAAAACAATACATCAAAAAAACACTTACTAGAATCCAAACAGATAAATCGCAATACAAATACAAAAATTCTTTATTGTATACCAAAAAAGGAAACAAATACAATACAATTAAATTAAAATTAAGGTGGTACAATGGGCGGTCTTATCGCTTTAAGCTAATTCTACCTGACAACCTTTGGATGGAAGTAATTATATAACTCACAGGAAAAAAGACGGCGGTGTATGAAGAATTAGTAATCAATAGATAGAAAATCGATAAATAAATACACATATACATATATATTATTTATAAATAATAAAACCAATACAAACATATGTATTCATACATATGAATGTCATAAACTACTATATATTCCTACACCTAGAAAAAAATATATAACATAATTTTAAAACATAAATACAATACTACCTAACCAAACATTGTATACAAAATCTTGGTGGTACTAATTGTTAATATTATAGTTATAATGTCATAATTGTATCCTCACTATATTGGAATACGCTGCTGGTGCTATAATAATCCATAAATAAACCACTTTATTATTTTCATTACTATTAAACTATTTGTCCCAGAAAACTGCTACCAAAGTGAAAAAAAACCGGAACGATAAGTTGGTTAAACCTTATAGCTCTCTTAACAAAAGTTTAGAAAATTTCGAAATAAGAAACGTATTTTTCGGAGGATTAGGATTACGGACTCTTTTTTTCCGCAATTTTTTGTAATGAAAATTCTGATTTTGTTTAGACTCCAATTGATGCCAGACGAGCGAAGAGTGCTGCAGACGAAGCAAAAGAAAAAGACCTGCAATCCGTTCTTCGATGAAACTTTCATTTACCAGGTAAGAACATTAACGTCGGGGATAGTGCAAATCCGCTTATGTAGCATTGGCAAAAAGGCGCGTATCTGCAATAAACCAAATTTTACAGGAGAAGGGTTATTAGTTTGTAATTTCAATAGCTACGACTTTCATTTTTGCATAGTAAGCATTAATTTATGCTGTCTACGGGCTTATAACAACAGATTCCCGTCATTTTTAATTTGATTGCCACGACATATACGCGGAGTTGATTTGGTCACTAAATTATCGAAATGGAAACTCATAATTCAATGCTAGTTACGCGTAATTACACTATCGCAGAATGTTATTTTTATATTTTTCTTCAAAGTGTCGACGACGAAGACGCCATTTTTTTAAGTATCAATAAATCGTACCCCAATAACAAAGTGACATATAATCAAAATGTTTTTATGAAATAAAATTACGAACTACGTGAAACAAATGTATAAAAAATGTATATGTGAATTTTTATAATTCTCTTATTAAAGCATTTGTAGTCAGGCCAGTCTGCCTCCGTGGCCAAACGGCTACTGTGCCGAACTGCCACGCAGAGGTCCCAAGTTCGAATCCCGGGCCGGAAGAATTATTTCTGTGGCTTACATTTATTTCTCTCGTGAGTTTGGGTGTAATTTGTGGTTGTCTATATGTGTGTCCATGGTACCCGCGACACAGGATTTCTCTAGTGCGGGGCTATGTTGAGTGTGTTATTATTTTTTGTAATAGTTATTATTATTATTATTAAAAAATTTGCATCTTGATGACGGTGGCGGAAATGTATGACTCTCCATCCATGCGCCACTTTGCGCAGGTGCTGATCAGTAGAATAGTTATTTTTGATATAAGTGCGGAAAGTTAGTCATTATTCACGAGTCTCGGGGCTTCTTGGCCCGAGCCAGAGGCGAGGGTCAAGACGCGAGACAAGTGAAAATGACAAATCCGCACGTGTATCAAACGACGTTTTTTAATACATTTGCGAAAAACTACATTGAAAGTAAAATAAAACAGTATTTAAAAAAAACTCATTTTCTGCTAGTAAATTAAAATAATGAAATACAACCACTGCAACCATTAGTTAAAAGTCTATGGAAATCTAGTTCTAACGTGCTGTTTTTGTTTATTTTCTGTAATATCGGTCTGTAACCACTTTTCTTATTATGAAGTCCTGGTACTTTTGTTTAAACTTCTTTAGGAACCCGTGCACGGTAGTGAGATACAATTTATCTGTAATACATAGAACAAATAAATATATACATAAAAATCTCGCCTGTCACCCATTCAGGGGTAGGCAGAGACTGTGGACCTCCACTCGATACGTTCATTATATAGTATTTGTAAATAAATATAAGTTTTAATGACGAATGACTTATGTACGTCACAAAGCACATAAATATTAAATAAATATACAACTTCTTTAGTTCTATGTTTAAGACTTAAAACAACAGTAAATAAAAAAAAACTGGAAAAGTAAAAAGCACTAGTGCGAGAAATCCAACTTTCCGCACGATTTGTAGTGCGAAAAATACCACGTTTTGAGCAACTGTATTAAAAAGTAATTTTTGTTATTGTTCAAACATTAATATTTAAATATATACTAACATAGAAATAACAATGCTCTCAATTTCGAAATTCGAAATTCGAAATTCGACATTCGACATTCGACATTCGACATTCGAAATTCGAAATTCGAAATTCGAAATTCGAAATTCGAAATTCGAAATTCGAAATTCGAAATGAAATAAAATAAAATAAAATAAAATAAAATAAAATAAAATATAACATTAAATTAAATTAAAATTAAAAATACATGTTATTGATAAGAGTCAAGGGTCTCAACATGGTCTCAACCGCTACCACTATTCACCTATGTGCTTCTCCGCATGCAAGCACATCCACTGGTGTAGCAGCGGAGAGTCCCACCGGTCAGTAAAAACGTTCATGATGCTGTTAGATGATTTACGCAGGCGATTCAGCCTATTGAATACAGCGGTTTTCTTGTAAAATTTCGATATAAGATTGTGTTTTTTTCTCAATCGTGAAATTTTTTAGGAATCGTTGTTGCACGCCGTATCGTAATCAGTGTACGTTGTATCCTTCATTTTATTATATTTTTTCCAAAGTGATCGATTCATCATTCACTGTTATGCGGAATCAACCAAATCCATTTGAGTTTGCATAGACTCTTAACAGATAATAATAACGCATACACTCATATATAGATGTGGCCATAATACACAAAGTATATGAAATAGACCTTGTTATTTGGGTGCTATTGAGATAGTTAACCCGTTCATGGACAGTAACAGCAAAATTAAATATTAGGATATGATAGTACGGGGTGTCCTGTTTCGCTATCTCAAAAAATAAACTACGGACTTTACAGTGCGATTTCCAAATGGTTTCTTTGTAGTTGCCGCCTACTACTTTTCCATAGAGAAGTATTTTTTTATGACAATAAGTGATGGGACGAACAAGTCGTGCGCCTGATGGTAAGGGACAAGCCTGACTGTAAATAACAGTTGCAGCTCTCAGAGCCTTAAACCGTAAAGATCTGATGGGCACTGCCACTGCGCCCATCACTCTGAGACATAAGTTGAAAAGTTCCATGTGCCTGCACCAGCACCCTTAAAACCGGAACGGGAAATAGCTAAGGTGGCAGTATTTCTCTGGACGAACTCTGTCACAGGGAGCTCTACGGCTACTGAAAATATTAACAACGTACTGAAAAAAATTCAGTAATTTACATTCATTTTATATCGAATCAATCAGTGTGCGGCAATGTTTAAGTGCTGTTCATGAAGGGGTTAAGGATCGATGCATTAATTACCGTAAATAAACAACTTCTGCTTTTAGAAATTGAAATTGAAAAAGGAATAAAACGAAAGGTTAAAATTTATTCTTATCTGAGTAGATGAACTCCCAACGCGTCTTAACAAAATGGTTTATACAGTAAGAACTCATTATCCTCGGAAATTACTCCTCAGAAGTCTATGTCGCAAGAAATCGTGAGCACCATTTTAGCCTTTTATTGTAACGACAGTATTTTGTGGCTACTATAGTCATGTGTTAAGTTCTTTCTATTAAGAATTTCATTAATTGTTTCTGTAATTTCTTTGTCCTTCTCAATTTATTAACTTTATTCTTTTTTTATTATACCATGTAACAGGACGAACAAGTCGTGTGCCTGGTGCTAAGTGACACGCCTATCCATAGCAGTTGCAGTGCCACTTAGAACTTGAAATCGTAAAGGTCACCCTGAGACATACGTTGATAAGTCTCATGTGCCTGTAACTTCACCAGCACCCTTACTTTTCAAAACCAAAGTACTACTGCTTGGCGGCAGAAATAGTAACGTGGCAGAGTACTTACCTGGACGAACTCTTTCACATGGGGCTCTGCTGCTACTAACACAATATTACGTTATTATATGACGTTAAAAATGTTGTTACAAAATGTATGTATATGAGATACACTTGAATTTTTTCGATTTGCAATGATAATAGAACCCTGAAAATTTACAAACCGACATTATTAAAAAAAAGCAGGAAAACGGTTCCTTAAACCAAAAAGAGCAAACTTTCACGAATCTCAGCGAATATTAATTGAGAAAGTTTCACCTAAAGTAAACGCCAACGTATAAAGCGAACATTATTTACATTTAATTTTACATTTGTTTTCTCTTTATATTTCTTGTTTTTATTTTATATTTCTTTAAAAAAAAATTCTATATTATATTTTCGACGAAATACTTTCTTATTTTTCTTCCATTACCCGTTTTATTACGTGGTAACCATTAAACTCTTTACGGAGAGTTTAGATTATTATGGCTCATATAACACTAATGACTTAAAAAATTCAAAGAAATGTTGAGAATGATATTTAAATCAAGATATAATAAAGGTGGGTAACAATTATAGTCATATAAATAGTAAAAGCGATACATCAATAGAATGCATTGATGTATAGTTTTTACTATGGTACCGAACCTTATTCATGGACTAAATACAATTGGTAAATGCATTGCCATGTGTCAATTAAAAAAAACGCGCGTAATTTAAATATAGATCTGGAATTATACAACACACATAATGTGCACTCAGAGCGCGTGAAAGTAGCTTTAAATAAATAGAGGATCGAATACCTATATAATAGTGATATATTTTTAATAGCAATTGCTCGTGAAACAGTTAAACCAGGGGAATACTGCCACCTTACCTATTTCTACCGCCAAGCGGTAATTTATTATAAAAATTATTGTGTTTCAGTTTTGAAGTGTAAGAGTGGTTACTGCCGTACTGGTGAAATTACAGGCACATAAGACTTGTCAACTTATGTCTCAGGGTGACGCGCGCAGTGGCAGTGCCCCCATAGATATGTGCCCCTCACATATTTGCAATTTAAAGTTCTGAGCACTCCAACTGCTTTGGACAGGCGTGTCGCTTACCACCAGGTACACAACTTGTTCGTCTCGTCACTTGGTATCATAAAAAAATTTCATTGAGGTGTTTCAGCTTATTACCTGACCTAATTGTTTATGGCTTAAACAAGCATTACGCGCGTTTGTTTTTGTCTTTAAGATTAAAAAGTTGTTGCCAATTCATTAATCACCCTTGTCAGATTTAGTAAAACATTGTTTGAATAACAAATTTTAGGCCTTCCAATTTCCCAGCGATATATTAAAAGTAATCACGTTACTTGGGAATTCGGAATTCGGGAGCTCCGCAAAAAAAGGACATGGAACATCGGTTTTGTGTTCCCTGTACCACCATTTACGTGTTTTGTATTTTTGTAGATGCTTTAAACCTAATTTATACAAGAGCGGTAAAGGAAGCGGACAGCCTAAATTCAGTTCTTTGATAAAGAAAAATAATAAGTTCTCCTTTTGAGATTGAATATAAGATCAGAATTTCATGAATACAGTTCTATAATACATTAAGTCTATCTTTCAATAAATTAAATTGAAAATGTGTTTAAATACGTTTTCATATTTTTGTGAGGTTATA